CACATATGTGTTGTTGTCGATGTTTCCCGACCCCCCCCCACTGGAACTCGAGGGTAAATCTGAGCCTTCGGGTTGGGCTGGGGTGGCGTGGTGGGTGGTGAGAAATTAGCACCAACACCAACACAGGGGGGTTGCCTCCACAGGGGGGAGATGATCCTAGATTTCGGTGCTGGTGGTAATATTTCAGCCACCTTGGAAGCCAGAATATTACCACCATCACCGGGATCGGGATCTTCTTCCCTCGGTGGAGGGACACCGCCAATCTTGGTGTTGGTGTCAACCCCTAGGCCTGCGACAGCCGAAGACTCGAAACTCCCAGCCAACTCCCTGCTGCAGTCGGCGGTGGACAAGCCTCCCTTCAGCAAACCACCCTTCAGTGAAAACGGCCTGGGACCGAAGCCGACGGGCCTGGACCCGCAAGAACGACGGCCGCGACGCCCTCTCGCGAACCGAAAACGGCCAATTTCGCTCGTCGACGCGTCAGGGTAGGAGGTCTGTCCCCCCCCGATGCAAGAGCAAGAGCCCCTGAGTGAAACACTTCGGGGGGAATCGACCTTTTTTATCTGCGGGTCGAGAGCGCACATCTTCCGGTCGAAGCTAAGCGGGCCGCGCACAGCTTTAATTGACAGAGGGGGGGAGGCAGAAGGCGGGGCCTCACGTCAAGGCCAAGAGGGAGCAAAGCCCTGGAATCAGGAGGTGTGGACGACGAAGTGCATGCAAAGGAACGCCTTGTACAGGAACCCGGTGGCGAAGCAACGGGGGGAATAGACACTCGGAGGTCCGTGCGGACTTCCCGGGTCTGCGCCAGACTCCCCCTGGCGTATCCGAGAGCTTACGCATGCGTCGCGTTTCCTCTTCAACAACAGGCGACATCCCAGCCCAGACCCTCGAAAGGAAGTGTCCCGAAGCTGCGTCCCCCGGCGACGCATTTGAAGGGCAGATGGATTGTCAAGGGGGAGGGGCGATGAGAATTCGAGGCGACAGCGGCTGGTTGAGGCGTGAGGGACTGGGCCAGACTGGGGAGGCCTCCTGTCCAGTCTCCTCCTCATCCCTCCTCCTCCTTCTCCTCCTCCTCCTCAGCCTCAGCCTCTTCCTCCTCCTCCTCCTCCCTCTCCCCCTCCTCCTCCTCCACCCCTCTTCCTTACAAACCTGATCAGACAAGAACAGGAAACGCCGATTTTGCCCATTGGGATCATAAGGATGATGGCGACGATAAAGCGGCGGACGACGAGGATGACAGCGTGGATGAACGGGGAGGGCAGCGATGAGAGGAGGGCAACGATCAGGCAGACAAGCACGAGGACGAAGATGAAGAAATGGAGGATGACGAATCCGAGGAGGAACGAAGCGGAGGAGGCGGAGGAGGATGAGGAGAAGAAGGACGACGACGACGACGAAGGAAGACGGTGAGGAGCCCGAGGAAAAGGACGCGAAGAAGGGGGGGTCCTCGTAACCTTTTGAGGCTACCCTGGTGGCTGTTGGGGCCATCTGGGGCTATCTTGGGGCATCATGGGGGCCTCTTGGGGGCCTGTTGGGGTCCTCTTGGGGGCTACTGGGGTCTTCTTGAGCCGTCTGGGCGTGTCTGAAGGTTCTGGAGGGGCTCTCTCAAGCCGTCTTCGCGCCATCTTGGGCTGCCTTGGGCCGTCTGGGTCCCTCCTGGGGCTCTCTTGAGGGGCCTCTTGGGGCCTTCCTTGGGTCCTCCGAGCCTATCCCCCCCTCTAACATTGCCTCCTGGCTTTCTTGCCATATCTCGGCTCTCTGGCGGCCGCCCGGGACGATCCGGGCACCCTGAAACGCACTCGACGAGGCGCAGCTGCTGAACATCACCCCGAGGCTGGGGGGAAAAACAAAAAAAAAAAAAAACGAACCAACGCAGACGCCCAGAAACCTCGAGCCTCATACCCCCCCCATTAAGCCTATCCCCCTCCCACCCACCCACCCCGAGCCTCCCCCTCCCCCTAGCGAAGACGCCCGGAAACCTCGAGCCTCGAACCACTCCTTGAGCCTACATCCCCCTCCCCCCCGGAGCCTATCCCCCGCACCCCTGGCGAAGACGCCCGCAAACCTCGAGCCTCGAAGCCCCCCCTTGAACCTGCATCCCCCTCCCCACCCCCTGAGCCTATCCCCCCCCCTGGCGAAGACGCCCCGAAACCTCGAGCCTCGAGCCCCCCCTCCTGAACCTGTCCCCTCCCCCCCTGAGCCTATTCCCCCCCCCCCTGGCGCACGCCCGGAAACCTCGAAACACGAGCCCCCCCTGAGCCTGCAGTCGGACCCAGGGCAGAAGAGCACCCCTCAAGAACACGAGGCCCTCCTCCGACCCCAAGGGGAAGAGCATCCGAGGGCGCCGCCCCCCCGGATGCAAGAGAACGCCCAAGAAACAGGAAGAGAACACGAGGGCACCCTCCCCGAGCCGACCTCGACCGACTGTGCCCCACCACCACCCCCTGAGCCAGTGCCCCGTCACAGCCTCTGGGCCTATCTCCCCCCCCCCCGGCGAAGACGCCCGGACACCTCGAGCCTCGAACCACCCCTTGAGCCTGTCCCCCTCACCCCCCGAGCGAACCACCCCCTTGAGCCTAGCGAGGAGGAGGAGGAGGAGGAGGAGGAGGAGGAGGAGGAGGAGGAGGAGGAGGAAGAGGAGGGGGAGAGGAGGAGAGGAGGAGGAGGAGGAGGAGGAGGAGGAGGAGGAGGAGGAGGAGGAGCGGAGCGGAGCGGAGGCGCCGGTTCCGGGCACCGGGGGTGCCCGTGCCCTTTGGGCAAAGCGCAAGAGGCCGTAGCCTCAGACCGTGTGGGTGCAAAGCTCTGGATGGCATAATTCACGAACCGGAACAAAAAGAGCGTGTGGTCGAAATGGGACATCAACCGGCAAAAATAGAATGTGGGCGAGGTAGTACACGAGCCGGCGCAAATAGAAGACAAGGAATACGGAGTTCAGGATTGTGTTTGTGGTCGGTGTTGCTTGTTTGTGGTCAGTGCTGGTGGTCGGTTCCTGTGTTCTGGTCAGTGTTGTTGGTCGGTGCCACTTGCTGGTGGTCAGTGTGGGTCCGTGGTGGTCGATACTGGTGTTCGGTGGTGGTCGGTGGCGTTTGGTGCTGGTGGCGCTGCTGGTCATTGGTTGGTGTCTGTGGTCGGAGCTGAGTCGGTGCTGTCGGTGTTGTGCTGCTGCTGTTGATGTGGTCGATGCTTGTACTGGCGTTGCTGGTGCCGCTGCTTGGTTTCGTTGCTGCTGTTGGACGGTTTGCACAGTCAACTGGCGTATGCAAGGAAACTGCTTTCATGTGCGTCCCACCACGTCGGTTCCGTTGCGGCTGTCAGCCATCTTACGCCGTTGCTGTCGTAGTGGATATGTTGCCGTGGGCGAGTGGTTTCGTTGGTGTTGCCTTGTGTGGCTGCGTCGTTGGTGGTCTGATGCGAACTTTGGAGAAACTTTCGAAGGTCGTCGTGCCACCGCTTTTGTTCGCCACCATGTTGCCGATGGCCCTGCTGTCTCTCGTCGAGAGAAGGGTTCCAGTTCAATGCTCGTTATGTCCGTCGGTTCGGTGGGTGGTGTGCTACCCGTGCGTCCCAGCGCCAGACCTTTCTTTGTGTATTTGCTCCACGTCAGGGATGCCGTGCATGCTCATTAGCTCCTCGGCTCTGCGCGTGCTACGGTGGATGAAATCGGACCACAGATCGCTGTCGTCCGTCGTCTGCGCGCGGGCATGATGATGGTCGTCGTCAGTGTTTTCGCGCAGAGTAAGCGGGTTGCTGGATGCGTCGTGGTCGCTGGAGTCGTTGAGGTCGTCGCTGCTGGGGTTGTGGTCGTTATGGTTGCCCGTGGGCGGGGTGGGGTGTGTTGGCGTGAGAGTGTTCGTGCGCCTTCTCGGTGTTCCGATGATCGTTCTGACCATTCGTCGTTGTGTGCGGCGTAACTGTTGTCTGAGAGGCTCTGTCAAGGTCCACGTCGCTGCGCCGTACGTCAAGGTGGGCATTACGGTGCCACGGTAGAGACGCAGCCTGTGCTTGAGTGGGTAATGTTTGCTCGTAAGCTCTTGTCTGTGTCCTGTGAAGCATGCCCACGCAGCCTGTATGTGATGTTGGATCTCTTTAGCCGAAGCGTCCTGGAACGTGATCGTTTGGCCGAGGCACGGGACAACTTCGATGTCAATGTTTGTAGCCGTGGCCTTGCGCGTTCGAGTCCTTGGTTGGTTTGTCATGATGTTCGTCCTGGTCGGGTGTATTTCGAGGCCGTGGGGTTTTGCTGCTGTGATTAAGTCGGTGATTAGCGTCTTCATATTGGAAAGTGTCTGGCTCACCAAGAGGATGTCGTGGGCGAAGCGGAAGTTCGTGAGAATTGATTCGTCGATATATGCCAGTTGGACTCCTCGTCGCCGCCGCTGCCATTCCGGGATGAGTGACGCTAGCACATGTTGCAAAAGAGCGTCGAACAGCAAAAAGCTCAGAGGGTCTCCCTGTTTCGTGCCGCGTCGGAGCTTGAAGGGCCTGCTGGTGGAGTCGGTACGGACGACGGCCTTCTGGTCGTGGTAAAGGCGCCCGAGTAAGTGGACGTATTCGGGCGCCACTCCCTGTCGACGCAGTGCTGTCCATAAGCTGCCGTGCTCCACTGTGTCGAACGCTTTTTGAAATCTACGGCGGCGATCCACAAAGCTTGCTTCCATTCGGAGGCCCGTTCCCGCAGGAGGAGGAGGAGGAGGAGGAGGTCCCGAGGAGGAGGAGGAGGAGGAGGAGGAGGCCCCGAGGAGGAGGAGTGAGGAGGAGGAGGAGGAGGGGAGGAGGAGGAGGAGAGGAGGAAGGGGGGAGGAGGGGAGGGGCCCCCAGGAGGCCCCCAGGAGGGCGCCTGCTCCTCGGGGATGCTCTGGCGCTTCTTCCTGGCCTGGGCGCGGGGGGGGGGGGGCGGGACCCCGCCGCCCCGACCTCCGCGGCGTGGCCCTCCCACCAGGGGCGTCCAGGACTGGCGGCGGCACAGGCGGGAACGTGATGAAATAAAAAGAGGCGCCAGGAAATCGAAAGAGATATCATGGCCCCCATCATTGTATCCACCCCCCCCTCGTCATCACCCCCCTCTTTGCCGCCCCCGACCATCTCGGGGATCTGCTAACCCGGGAGAATCCAAACCCGGGTCAGTCCAGCCTTGCAGAATCCTGCAAGATCCTGCACCCAAACCCGGGTCAGCGAGGGATCCTGCAAAATCCTGCAGGATCCTGCACCACAACCCGGGTCAATGCGACCCTGGCCCTGCAGGATCCTGCAGGATCCGGCGCTCTGGCTGACCCCCGCTTGCATTGACCCCCGCCTCAGGGCTGCCGACCATCGATCGGACCTCCGTTTCCGGTGCATGTTTCGGCTCCGTGCGTGCCTTTTTGGCTCGATGATCGAGAGTGCTCCTCGATGGCCCTCGCCGAAAACATCCCACGTCCGAGCGTTGCCAAGACAGAGGGGGGAAAGGGATCCCTATATGTAGACGTAGGGCGCACGCACGGGAGATCGGAAACCAAATCGTGATGCGAGGTCGAATCGAATCCGAATCGAGAGCCACCGAAGTCGATTCCAGTGGGGTCAGAGGAATCGAATAAGCTCTGCCCTCCCCCTCTCCCCCAAATTCCCCCTCCCTTACTTGGCGGTGCGCACCAGGGGGGCAGGGGGGGGGGAAGGCTTCTCAGAAGGATGCTGCTTCTTAGAAGGCGCTGGCCCTACATCTACAGACATAAGGCCCGCGCCTTCTAAGAAGCAGGGGTGTTTGCCTTCACCCCTCCCCCTCCCCCCCTCTGTGCGTGGCTGACAAGAACGGGACGTCCAAGAGGGGGGTTCGTAAATCATAGCCCCAAGAATGTGCGCAGACCACGGGAGGGACAAGGAACGCATTGAACTGAGGAGACGGGCAATGAAATCTGGGGAGATATCATGGCCTTGGCCATGATACCCATTCCCCCCTAATCAGCACCCCCCCCTTATTGGACACCCCCGATCTGAAACGCGGCCCAGACCAGAACATAATCGGACTGGGGCAAACAAGGTATCCCTGAGGTCCGGCGGCTCTGGAGGATGCGGCGGGCGCCGCGGAGATTGCCAGGCGCCTCGGAATACTCTGACAGCGTTTCAGACCGCTCTGCAACGATCTGTCCTGGCCCTGGCCCCACCCGACCCCTCGACCCCGGACCAGTCAACACCCCATCGGGAGGGCGGATCGGATCGGAACGTGCGTCAGGTCGGGCCGCATGCATCGGCACGGAGTCAGGATCGAATCGGATCGGCCGCGCCGGGATGCACATCGGATCGCAGGAATGTCAGAATCGAATCGGATCGAGCTGGCCAGAGAAGATGTTGAATCTGGTCGATGGGATCGAATTGGGCCCAGCCTCGACCCATCACATACAGTGGAGTCCAGTGTCTGGGTAACCGCACGAGACCGGAATGCTGTCGCAGCACACCTTCGATGGCAGCCTCCGTACTCAGCACACCATAATGCCACGCTCAGGGTAGACGCCTCAAGAATCGGCCTGTGCACACCTCCACCACTCTCGACAATAGGACGACAGCGCGTTGCCTCGCGACGCTGCGCGCACATCAGACTGTGCAACCATACAGGAGAGGAGAGGAACGGGACGGGACGCCTGCGAGGGCATGCGCCTGGGCCCCTCAAGGGAGAGGCGGGTGAGGCCATGGCCTTGAGGAGACGAGAGGAGAGGGAGAGGGGAGGGAGAGGGAGAGGGAGAGGGAGGTGGAGAGGGAAAGGGCAGGAAAGGAGAGGAGAGGAGAGGGGAGGAGAGGAGAGGAGAGAAAGAGGAAGGGAGGAGAGGAGAGGAGAGAGGAGAGGAGAGGAGAGGAGAAGAGAGGAGAGGAGAGGAGGGAGAGGAGAGAGGAGAGGAGAGGAGAGGAGAGAGGAGAGGAGGAGAGGAGAGGAGAGGAGAGGGAGAGGAGGAGAGAGAGGAGAGGAGAGAGGAGAGGAGAGGAGAGGAGAGGGCCAGGCAGAGGAGAGGAGAGAGGAGAGGAAACGGGAGAGAGAGAGAGAGAGAGAGAGAGGATAGAGAGAGAGAGAGACAGCGCGAGAAAGTGGGCGCGGAAGCGGCGGGCAAGAGCGAAGCCGGCCTCGGAGATGTGCTTCGTGAGGTCGCCGCCTGCCCGCGCCCCCGTGCGCCAGCGCCGCGAGCAGGGCGGCGGGGAGGGAGGACGCTATGTGCGAGGCGGGGATTTATCCACGTCCACCGCCTGGGAACCGACGTCCTGGTGCCCCAGCGGGCGGTGGATATGGTATCTTTCGGCCCCTGGGGGCCCGAAGATGTCCATATCCACCGCCTGCCGAGGCTCCGAAAACTGACCCTCCAGGCGGTGGCCATGTACAAATTCCAGCCTCGGACCATGGTCCCAGGAGGGAGGGGGGGCTGCAACATCGCGGCCGCCCCGCATACGAGGGAGGAAGGAGCGAGCGGAGAGGAGGAGTGGGGAGCAGACCAACGGGGAGGAGAGAGGAGGGAGTGAAGGAGAGAGGGAGGGCGGAGGAGGCGGGGGGGAACAAGAGGGGAGCTGGGAGGGAGGGGGGGGGAGGCAGGGGAGAAGAGGGGCTGGATCGCCCAGAACAAAAAAGAGAGACAGCCGCTTTTGTTCCCCCCCTTCCCCCACAGCCCCCTCCCCATTCCTCCCCACCACCACCCTGGGCCTCCCCCCTCGGCCCCCCTCGCCTCCCCCCCAAAAAATCCCCCACCCGCCCTTCTGCCAAGCACGGGAGGCCCACACGGTAGAACACTGGCTCGCGCCAGGCCGTCGGTTTGGCACTGCCTCCGCCAAAAACGGGCGCCGGGCCGCTCGGAAAGTTTGGCGGCCACCCAGACAGACCCCGCCACCTCCAGGGAGACGCGGGCTGCAAACCACCGCATGCGGAAGCGGCCGCCGAGAGGGCCACGACAAGCGGGCGCATGTCAAATCACGAGCGGGGTTTGCCGGCTCCGAGGTTTGGGAGGCAGCACGGGGCACTGCTTGAACGCGCGTCCGTTCCAGGCCTCGTTGTCTGGACGGGAGGCGGCGGCGGCAGGCTCGTGGTGATCCACGGGGAACGGTCCTTCTACAGCATGCTGTTGGCCAGCTCGCGGTTCTGCGTTCTCCTGTCAGGCAAAAGGACGACTTGTCGTGCTCGACGGTGTCAATGGCCCCGTGACTCGTTCGTGGGCCCTATAGGGCGTTCATCGAATTTCCCGTCACGCTACACAAGATGGATGTTCAGGTGCTGTTTCAGTTGGCTGCGTCAAGAGCTACACGAGTCCATCCCAAGCCACGCGTGGAGGAAAGAAAAAAAAAAAAAATACTTTGCCACAACCACGGGCGAAAACACAACACTTCGGGTGCCCTTGCCAGCCAGCACTGGCCCTAGCGAACAGGTGAAGCGACAACATGAGTTTCCGACACAGTGCGTTCGGCGGTACGCGGTACGCTTATTGGAGCCCTTGGCGCGCCAGTTTCCTGGCCCACTCGTAATGTTGCTTTCTCGAGGCTCGCACCCACGATTCCACAATGTGTTGTCCCACTGATCGGGCCATCAAGCCTTCGCAGCAGTACATGCACTGGGCCACTGTCGCTTGCGGAAGCTTCGGGGCACAACGAATATGCCACACCATGTGACGTCGCACGCCAGACATGGTCCTCTCCTCGCGCACGCTCAGATTCCAAGCGCCCGCCCCCCGCAAGAACGCGAGCTTGAAGGACAGATCCAGCAGCTGCAGCTTGTGTATGAGGAATCCAGATGTGTGCATGAGTAAACCGGTGCACTTGAAGTACTGCCCCAAATATTTAGAGACCCTGTATCCGAGCTCGTTATCGAAAGAATTGTCTACACTGACGATGGTCCCGATTGCCCTGAACCCTTCGCGACATGTTTCTCGCCTGACGTCACGGCCTGTGACTCTCAACGCCATGGGATCGCTGTATGTAGCCAGTGCGCACTAGGAACACTCTCCCAAATGGACTGACGACCCAGCCCGGGACGATCCCTCCAGGAAAGTCTGCACCAGATTACGTTGCATGCTGGTCGATGTTCCCAGGACTCAGATGCTGTCTACTAGGCACCAGATGCCACACAATGTCTTTTTTCCCCAAACGGCAGCGTATTATTTCTCTCTGCGCTCCGCCAGGGTATCTTCCGAACCCACATCGAAAAGAACATTGAATAATCAGTTTCGGCGCGTCCGGATCCCCACCCCCTGGCAAAACAATCGCGCGCTCGCGTCCGTGCTGGACACAGTGCCAGCCCGGACATGGGACTTCGGCTTCCGGGCCTCTGTGAAGATAGCGGCTGCCGAACTCATGACAAAGCCTTTCCAGACCACACGCCGCGCGCCGCCGAAGAAGATGGCTGACCGTATCGTACGCATTCCCCCGTCGAAGATGTAAAGGGGAGGCACCACGTCCTGCAACTCGACATGCTTCTCAAACAAAAACCTGGAGCATGAAGACCACATCCGACGCCTGCATGTTTGGCCGAAAGGCAAACTGCACATCGCCCAGACTCTCATATTTCTGCACTGTCCCAAAAAAACATGCCATATCAACGTTCGTCACGGCCAGGATGATAGTGATAGGACAAAGCTTGGACGGATGAGTAGGCTCGCCTATTCTCAAAATACCATGCACCACAACGCGTCCCCAAAATATATCATCGACCTCGGACGCGCGGTTCAACAACTGGGAGCGTGAACACGCCTGCCAACACTTCGCGTGCGTCCTCCCCAAGGCGATCGTTTATCTCGACGATCACCCCGTTTTCTGCACATGTCCAGTTCAGCTTGAATCAATACACAACTTTGGGAACTAAGTTACCTTCAAGAGGCCGATCGCAAGACAGAGCGTCCGCGTACAACGATTTCGAAAACCAAGAAGGCTTTCGTTTTCGGAGTGGACGCTCGCTGTTGTAGAGATTAGGGAAATGCGTCGTCAGCCGTTGCCCTTCGTACTTCGTCGTTGCATGCCATGTCGGAAATAACGGGTCCCCGAAAGACCGGCAAAATACTCTTCTGAAACGGCTTGGCCGGTCGAGCTGCTCTGATAGCCTCGTCCGTCCTCACATCCAACTGCAGGCTTGCGATGCGCGTCTGCGTCACCGCCATGACTGCCACGACTGCAAGGGACGCCAGCTCGGATGGCATCCTCCTCCGCCGTGGCAGCTCACGGAGCGCGCACTTCGCCTGCTTAATCGCCTCGGCGTCTGTGCGGCCATGGCCATGCCCCTGCGCCCGCCCATGGACGCGAGCTTCGGAGGAGGCTGCCTGGGTGAACCCGGCGATGGTGGGATCGACGATCACGATGTCGACGGACTTCACCTCCGTCAGGCTCGTGGCGCCATTACGGGCGATCTCCTGGAAGCCCCGCGCCTCCCCCAGGCGTGCTCTAGGCGCTGCGGCTCCCCAGCAGGTAAACCGGTAAGGAAGACGCCACCAGGACGCGAAACTGCCGCGATCCCCCGCGAAAGCTGTCAACCTGTCAGCCTCCTGGTTCCCAGCATTCCCAGTGTGCGACTTAATCTTAACAAGCCTCAGATCAAATACGAAAAGTAATATGTGATACAAAGGCTGCATAAGACTGGCGAGATCGATGTTTTCCTTGGCGTTGAACTTGCCCGTTCGAATGCCGACTACGTACAACGAGTCCACCTTGAACACGACCTTCAGGATGCCCTCCATCTGCACATAACTGCCTGGATTCACCAGGTCACGAGTGAAGAGAAGGAGCAGACACGCCTCGACTATAGCAAAGCATTCACCCGTACTGTTGGAGTAAAACCTCGCTCACATAAAATGTTTCCCCTCGACGTCGGTGACCACAGAGCCGTATGCTGATAACACTGGCTCACCCGTTCAAGTCGCGTCTCCAATGCTTTTGACAGTGAACCCACAAGAAGCGAAAAACGCCCTCTTCCGTTTGAACTGGAAATGCCCGTCGATGAAGACGTGCACAGCGGTGTCCTCAGTCTCCTGGGTGGTCCCCGTCCCCTTCGTGATGACTCCAGAGATGTCGAGACACTCTGCAACGGCAAAGACGAATCCGAAATGCTGGCTTAGAGGCTGGACTGTATCCTCATTGCTGAGGCCTGGCCAGGTTTCACATCCGCCACAGTACCCCAAAACTCCGATGATCCGTCGCGGCTGCCTCGATACCCGTAGAGTGGCACCTGCTCCAAGTTGCGATCTCGATTGCCGAGGCTCCGACTTCAAATGGTGTGCCTTACAGTACTGCATGGTTTTTCTTCCACCGCAAAGCATCAGATAATACCAGAGAAACACCCCAATCATAATCTTTTTAGGGCTGTAGGGCTATAGGGCTACAGGGCTATATGGGCTCTTGGGCGCTAGATGGGCTATGTGGCTATATGGGTTATAGGGCTATAGGGCTATAGGGCTATAGGGCGATAGGGATATAGGGCTATGAGGCTATAGGGCGCACCCGGGCACCTGGCACCCGGCACCCGGGCACCCACCCGGGCACCGGGCACCGGGCACCGAATCGGCGGCGAACCCGGGCAACCGGGCACCAGGGCACTCGGGCCCGGCCACCGAATCGGCGGCGAACCCGGGCACCCGGGCACCTGGGCACCCGGGCCGGCCACCGAATCGGCGGCACACCTCACCTACCCTTAAATCCGCTAGGACCCCTACAGAGGCAAGCTCTGATTGGGGAATAACCTCGACCTACACTGTAAAACACGACAGCGACGCTGCGCTACAGCGCGAGGCAGAGGAAAACAAGACGGCCGTCGAGCTGTAAAGTCGACGAACTTCTGCGTAGTATCGACCGCTGCATGCGGCGGCAGCCGTGTTGTGTGCGTGCTCACCGCCACCGTGTCGTGCTCCACGAGAAGTTGAGGGCCAACCGCCCGTCGGAGCCTGCGTGTGCCTCAGCATGGGGTCCAACTGATCCCGGGGCTTTGCCCTCTCTTGGCCCTGACGTGAGGCCCCGCCTTCTTTTTTCCTTCCTCTGATAGATAAAGCTGTGCGCGGCCCGCTTAGAGTCGACCGGAAGAGGCTCGCTCTCGAGACGCGGATCAAAAAAGTGTGCCTCAGCATGGGGTCCAATTCAATCCTCGTGAACGCGACGGCCATCCTCCACAGCTCCCTATCGATCCTGAACGCCAATGCCTATCTATAAACGACCTCCCTCGGGTAACCCAGCGCACAACGCAGACATGCCATCAACACTCGCCTGGTATGGCTGAAGATCGCCGTGGGGGGTAAGGATGGGCACAGATACACCGTGTATACGAGTCAAGCTTAGACAAATCAAGCCCTATGATTAGCGCGATCATGGTGCACGAATTCGGGACGACGTGCTGGAGCGTTGACGTGTGAACCACGACTACGATCTTCCTCTGGCCCAGCATGGAGTTCGAAGAAAACATCCAATGCTCATCGTCAGAGAACTGGTTTAGAGCCCCACTGTAACCAATAAATTCTTGAAGGTAGAGAACGCGCCACTGGACACCATGGAAACAGAGGAGACGGGGACAAGAAAACGAAACAGGGCCTTGGGCAACAAACGAATATCGTAAAGATCCTCTCCTTGAAGACCCAGACTTCTGGCGACTCGGAGAACAATGTGGTTCGCCATTTCGACGCTCCAAGGCCCTGGGCTGTCAAAAGGGTCACGGGAAAAGGGCCGAGGGCTACAGGTGCCGCGGACTCGCAACATTGGTCTGTTGGCAGGGACGGGGGGACATCTTACAAGAAACCACAAACGGTCTCCCAAGAAGAGCGGCGTCACGAAACTAACTCACAAGGTCTTTCCCAGGAAGACCCACGTGGCATGCAACGAAAGCACCAGACAGAAGTATGAACGGACAGCGGACGCGAGAGAGAGGCTGGCGAGCCAGGACACATCTGCTTCCCATTATCCTCACCACCGTGCAATATTTCACACTGCTCCTTGTGCTCTTCCTCGCCCTCATCCTCCTGCTCATCCTCCACCTCTTCCACCTCCTCCACCTCCTCCTCCTCCTCCTCCTCCTCCTCCTCCTCCTCCTCCTCCTCCTCCTCCTCCTCCTCCTCCTCCTCCTCCTCCTCCTCCTCCTCCTCCTCCGGCTGAGCCCCCTCCCCCTTGACCATCAGGGCATTGGCTGGGACGGGGAGCAGACGAAGCCCAGGAAGGGGCCCGGAGGGCAGCGAGGTCGCACAGTCGGCAGCACTCTGGAGCCCGGCGGGGGTGGGCTGCCAGCGGGGGCGGCGGGAGAGGGCAAGGGGCGTCATCGCTGCAGGCAGCACTGCAGCACATGCTCCCCCACATCCTTCGCAGTAGTCCATGATGATGCACAGCCAGCCCCTGTCCTGAACGAATCGGGGCAACTCACCACTGTCACTGCGTGGTGCAACTGCGGCGTTGTGCGCAGATCGCTCCGGCAAGTGAAGCGACGCACCCATGCGTTCATCGGATCCCAAATAACAAATGGACACCTGAGTCACCAAAAGAAAAGGCATAGGCTTCCAACCAGCGAGTCAGTGTGTGCAGCGATCGGCTGTTCTGATTATATTTCTCTCTATCTCGTTCTCTCTCTCTCTCTCTCGTTCTCTCTTTCTCTCTTTCCTGCTCTCTCTCTCTCTCTCTCTCCCCCTCTCCACTTCAAAAGGGGCGCGTGCCGTGGAATCGACGAGGCCTGACACAGGGGGGAGAGGCGCGGAGAGGAGGCAAGGAGAGAAGCTGGGCTACCCACGACCGCGACCTGGCTGGAGCGCTGCAGCGATGCACAGGCGCGGTGACGGGGTGCGGGCCTGCTCCGCTCAGGGCCGCAGGGGCCGGCGCCCGGGCGGGCGCGGCGCCCCTGCTCGCAGGCGCTACTCCCGTCGCCAGCCTGACGCTGAGCCAGCGCGCTCCCCAGCGCGTGGGCGGGACGCCCTGGTCCCACGGCGGAAAGCCGCCTTGCTTTTGTTTTGCTCTCTCTCTCTCTCTCTCTATATATATATATATATATATATATACAAGACTGCATTGGCGCTTCGCGCCATGCACCTTGGTCCTTCGAATCGAGCATAAATGCCTGTTCGCCTCATCCATGTTAGCCTTGAAGTGCGGCAAGCTCATTTAGGATTGCGTTTGGAACTGAATTTTGAAGCGGCCCCTGCAACGCGGCGGCGAGAGAGCGGAGGCCCCGAAAGAATAGAAAACCACAGGGAAACCTGAAGTGTCGAGCTGCGAACCGTGATTTGCGCCTTCCTCTCTCGACTCTTGCCCTGCGAACCTCGAGCCTCAAACGTCGACGTGCGATCTTCTCGGGAAGCGCACCGAATCCCAAGTTCACAACGGATTTCCCGAATATTGCGCCGATCGATGTAATCCTTTTGCAGGGCCTTGGCGAAGCGCTTGTAGAAAGCGCACGGCGCGCTGTCCTGGTCGAGGAGCAGGACGAACACGAAGCGAAGCTGGTGCCCAGTGTAGCGTAAATCGATGAGCTCCTGCATCGTGTCGTGCGCCTCTGTGTTGTTCGTGAACCGGCCAGTCGCGAACATGGCCTGTTCGAACGTCGCGTAGGACCTACCCAAGTGGGCGCGGCAATCTTGGAAAGACCGTTTCGGGTAGTGCAACAGCATGTGGCGGAGGTAGAACACTTCTTTCTGCTGGGGGAACTTCATCTCCAATCGGCAGAGCGGCGGCTGGCCGCGCATGCGTCGATAGACGAAATGCCGTTGGTCGATGGGGGCAAGATCGGTCCAGACGCCTCCGTCGAGGTCAGGGTCCCCGTCGGCAGGGTGCAGAGACGGGTCGTTCAGGGAAGCAGGTCGAGTCTTGGCCGTCTGGAACTGCTCGAAGTAATCCGCGTACAGCAAGCCGTCGAAAACGGGTCCTGCCGGGCGAGCGAACTACCGCATGAGGGCGGAGAAAGCGGCGTCGAGTGCACGTTGCTCCGAGCCGTCCGTGTAGGATACCCAATCTTCTCCGGGGAGATGGACGGGTAGGCACACGACAGTGGGAGTCCGCGTGAACGTGTCGTAGCCGAATACGCGCCACATGCATTCGGTCGCGCATAGGTATCTGCCTCGGAGCCAGTCTGCAATCTCGTCGTCTGAACGATCCAGGGGGGCACGTCGTACATTGTGTAATCGGGCCCCTGGAAAATGTACTTGTAGAGGTACTCGAAGAGGTTCACGTGCCCCGCGAATTTCACGCTTGCGTGCCCGTCCCACAGGAGCAGAAGTGCGCCGTTGTACTCCACGATGAGTTGGTTGCAGCAGAGAGCGCGCCCCCCGAATGCTGCGCGACCAGAGCTGCAATTGGGACAGTGGCCGCCGCAATCCCGCCGTTTGTGTAAAGGGTACCCGCGCCCGTCAAACTCGGTCATGGGTCGGAAGGGCCAGGGGCAGCCCTTGTTGCAGGGGTCGGCAAGGTCGTGCGGGTGGCAACCGCGATTGCACTTGTGCACCATGTGTCGGAGGACGAGGTCACGGAGCCGGCCGCTGGCACGAGGCAGCTCGCACGAGATGAAGGCGCCCACTTCCTCGGCGCTGGCGCGGGGGCTGGCCGACCCAATGACGATGTGCGCGTGGGGGGGGCCTCTCTTCTGGCACTCGATGACTCGCATGAAGTACTTGGTTGTCCCGCAGAACTCGTGCTGGAGGAATTTGACTACGAGGTGCAGTCGGGCGTGAAACACTCGGACCACTATGTCTGGTCTGTCTGCGTGGGTCTGGCCGCCCTCGAGTTCCCGCTCAATCTCCGGCCAATGGGGGTTGCATGTGAGTGTGATGAACCAAGTCGGGTCGCCCAGGCGGCGGGCGGTCTCCAGCGCGTCAATCCGCAGCCGGCGCAGATGGCGGGGCGACCCTTGCACGGTAGATGGCAAATAATGCCGCTGCGCCGCCATGGGCCCACCCGAAGGATCAGAACATGTTGATGACCCACTCGTTGAAAAGCCGGCCAGACAGATGCATGTGCGGTAGTCGGAGCGCCTGCTGACGGTACCACCACATTTGTGTGATCTTGTTGTGGTCAGGCGTGTTCAGGTCTGGAGCCCAGCCTCTGCCGCCGCGAGGATACCACAGGGGGTAGGAAAGCGGTTCGTACAGCTCGCTGAGTGGCGGGATGTAATCGTGCTGGTCGGTTTTGTGCAGACGGAAGTAGACGGAGCGAGGCGACGTACGAGCGCCGCCCGCAGAATCGAGTATAGCAGCAACCTATTGAATGCCTTCGTCCCACTCAAGCCGCAGAGCAGCGTCGGGGCAGCGTGACGTAGTGGTGCTCAACTTGTGGATGGCCGCCATGTACGGGTTCCCGTGGAGGACGTGGCGCTCGAGGGCACGGACAATGTTGGGTTTCAACTGCAAACGTTCCGCCGTTTGCGACCGAAGTTGGGGGTCGACGACAATGTACTGCACGGCGTTGGCTCCCTCCGGCGTCCATGTTTTCCTGTACATTGTCCCGTGGATGCGCATGAAGGAAGGTTTGTTGGGCGTAAAACTGGTTTCCCGCTCTGTGGTGCTGGACTGGATGTCGTGCACGGCGAGCCCGAAGAGGTTGTTGTATGCCCGAGAGTGTGCGCTGAATCCGTCGCAGCGGTATGTTTGCAGCAGCGCAGGCCCAGGCGCCGCGAAGTATCTCGTGAAATCGACTGCGTGCTTGCCAAACTGACAGCAGAAGCCCGCGTATTCCCCAGAGAATCGGGCGACGCCACAGTGAGCGCAAATGCAATCCCGAGGCCCCAATGTTATGGATTGAAGGGCCGCAGGCGCGCGGCATACATGGGCGGGCTTGATGCAGGACGAGCACGCCCGCGCACGGCTGGGCGCTTTGAGCTGGCTGGGCGTGTAGTGAGTTTTATATTGGAGTTCCCCGCAGCGTGAGCAAGAGAGGAGCTCTTGCTTGGGGCGTCCGCCGCGACCCTGCGCTGATCAGGTACAGGTGCCGCAAACACGGGCGTGAACGGGCTTTTCCAGCATAGTCTTGCTAAAGAGCGTGCGGTCTCGAAGCTCCCCGCAGCGAGCGCATTGAAAGGTCTCTTGTTTGGGCGTTGCTCTGGATTGCGTTTCCCGTAGGCGGGCACACGATATGCAGGCTCGATTGGATTGCAGCAGTTGGGTAGGGGAGTAAGCGTTTGAAGGAAGACAGTGACCACAATCGAAACAGGTGAATACCGACATGCTCGAGGTGGTATGCGAGTGTGGGTACGGGAAAAAGTTAAAGCCGAAGGCTACGGATGCATGTACACAACGGGCGTGGAGGTAAAAGAACACGGGCTCAGCTGTAAGAAATACGCACGTGGGACACCGAAATCGACATAATGCAGGTTTCGCGACGCACGTGCCTCACGGGAATGTCGCGAAACTGGGATTCGGAGATTCTGGGCCCTCTTGGAGCTCTTTTGGATTGTTTTGGGGCCCTGTTGAGCCGTCATCGGAACTGTGGGATTTGAGGGGCCTTCTGAAGCTTTCGGCCCTTTGGAAGTTCCATTGGCTTTTTTGGACGACTTCCATGGCCGTGTGGCGTATCTCTTGGGAGCCTTTTGGGGGCCTGTGGGGATCGCGTGGTACGCCTCTCGGGCTTTTCTGGGAAGCTGGTGTGAAGCCTCTTGGGAGTCGATTTGAAGCCTCATGGGGTCTTTTGGGGGCTCCTGGGGGCCAATTGGAGCCTCTCGGAGCCTCGTGGGGGTGTGTTGGGGCGCCTCTTGGGGTTTTCTTAGGCCTTCTTGGGGCTCTCGTGGACCGGAAAGCTAGATCTTGGGATGTTTGGTCGCCCGCTGGGGCCTTTTTTGAGGCTTTATCGGGGCCTTGTTGCCCTCTTGGGCGCTTCTTGGGTCGTCTCGGTGCCCGCTTGGGCCGTGTTGGGGCTGTGTAGGGGGCCTCTTGGACCGTGTTGCGGCGGTCTTGGGAGCCTCTTGGGCCGTCTTGGAACGTCGGGAAGCCGAAAAGGCGAGAAAGCCAAAAACTTCGAAAAACACCATGGGGAATCAACAATTGTGGCCTCTTGGGGCCTCTTCGGAAGCGTCTTGGAAGGCCTTTTGGAGCGTCTTGTAGGCTCTGGGGCCGTTTTGTGAGCTTCCCGCTAGCCCACTGCAGAGGCTTCGCAAGGACATTAGGGACGTCCAGAGATGCAGAAGGCCGGCCAGGGGCGTCCAGGAGGCCCGGAAGGCTCGGGGGACCCCCTTGCCAGGCGTCCAAGGGGCCCCAAAAGCGCCAGATTCCGGGGGTCCGATTTCCCGGGGGGGGGGGGGGGTCCCACCCCCCCGGATTGTAAAAATATAGAAAGGGGAATGTGTGTTTCTATCTCTCTTTCTTCGGGGAGACGTAAGACTCGGGTACGAGGGACTCGGGTTGGCCCGACGGGGCCATCATAAAAATGACGAGGCCCAATCTGAAATTTGACGCGAGCTCCCGCTGCAGACATCCCACGAAAACTGGACCGTCAAAATCCAGGACGCACTCGTCAAAAAAACGTCGGCAAACCCGGGTTCCGGCTTACTCGGGTCTTGCGTTTCCCCGATCTCTCTCTCTCTCTCTCTGTCTCTCTCTCTCTCTCTCTCTCTGAATACTGAACATATACACAAGGTACCAAGCAGATTCCAGCGACTTCCTGGGCGGTCTTCGGGGGGGGAAGTGTGGAAGCGAGGGGGCTGCGCCAAATGAGAGGCGCAGGGGCGTCCCGCCTGCCTTCCCGGGCACCGTCTGGGAGGCCTCTGCTGGCAGGTCGACTCGCAAGGGGCGCCCGAAGCCCCTGGGAGGCGAACGGAAGGCACACGCCACGCCGGCCGAGGCGCTCAGGACGAGGGTCGGCCGCTCTGTGGACCCGAAGAGGAGGAGGAGGAGGAGGAGGAGGAGGAGGAGGAGGAGGAGGAGGAGGAGGAGGAGGAGGAGGAGGAGGAGGGGGAGGAGCAGGAGGAGCAGGAGGAGCAGGAGGAGGACGAGGAGGAGCAGGAGGAGCAGGAGCAGGAGGAGGAGGCGGAAGAGGAGGAGGAGGAGGAGGACGAGGGCCGGCCACTCGAGTGGCCGCCGGTCGGCGTCGCCCGTTCGAACCGTGTGGGCCGTGGGATTGAGGGGCAACGATAGGGGGGGGACTGGCACAGGGGGGATGCATCGGGCTGGGATCGGCGATGCATCGCCGCTAGGTCGGCGGTAGGCCTCCGATAGTGCATCCGCACCTTCCCGGGCAGGCTGGGGCCATCGGGCCCCCATCGGCGAGCCATGGGCGATTGGGGGTCCATGCATCCCCCCCCCCTATGCCTATCCTCCTCCTCTCCTCCTCCTCCCCTCCTCCTCCTCCTCCTCTCCTCCTCCTCCTCCTCCTCCTCCTTCCTCCTCCTCCTCCTCCTCCTCTCCTCCTCCTCCTCCCTCCTCCTCCTCCTCCTCCTCCTCCTCCTCCCTCCTCCTCCTCTTCCTCCTCCTCCTCCTCCTCCTCCTCCTCCTCCTCCTCCTCCTCCTCCTATGCCTATGCCTATCCCCCACCATCGCTGCCCCTGAGGGATCGGCTCGATGCGCTTCGGCCAGCGGGGCTGGTCCCAGGTCCGCCCTCGGCCGCGCCTGCCCCACCCCCAGCTCGAGACGAGGCCAGGGCGAGGACAGATTCGGCTGAGGATAGATCGAGAATCTCTGAGATATCGGGCGGCTCTGGAGGATGTCTCGGGCGCCGCGGCCTTCTCAGATCGGGGGCGGCCAAGAGGGGGGCGTCCAAGAGGGGGGATGCAAATCATGGCCGGCGGCATGTGCGCGGCTCATGGGGGGGGCCAGGGACGTATTGATACAAGAAGAGGCGCCATGAAATCTAGGAAATATCATGGCCCTCGCCATGATATCCCCCCCCCAGTCATCACCCCTCTCTTGGCTGCCCCCGAGCTCTGGAAGATGTCTCGGGCGCCGCGGCCTCCTCAGAGCGTTCCGGGACGCTCTGAGAACGTTCCGGAACGCTCTACAACGGATTTTATCCTTGTCCTGGCCCCGTCTGAAAGCTCCTCGGCCCTCGGGGGACTTTCTGAGTTCCTAGGGGGCTTGCGGGAGCCAGCGGAGGCCCTCGATGAGCCCCATGGTTATGTCGGGCATATCTCTTTTGGAGGAAAAATTAGAAATACCCAAAAAAATATTCGAACATACTCAACAATAGTCGAAAAATCGTCCCCTGACCATTTGTTAGCTATGTTTGAACGTTCCCCCTGTAGAGGGACGTGCCCGACTTAACCCCAGGGCCTTCGGAGGTCGTCGCTGCCACTCATAAGCCCGCGAGCGCCTGCGGGGGCTTCCGGGCGCCTTCGGAGAGGTCATCGGCGGCCGGCGGAGGCTCTCGACTGGCCTTATGAGTATCGTTTGACCGATGCCCATCCCCACCAGCGTGGGCTGGGCCCCACTGGCCGATGGACCCCCCCAGATGGGGACATAGGCCGCTCCTGTCGGGCTTCGAGGGGGGGCATCCCCAACTGGGGTGGCAATTTGGTGGGGGTCTCGAAGGGGATGGGGATGGGGCTGGGGATCGGTGACGCGATACTGACCCTGGGCTCGATGGCGCCCGCGGGCCCTCGGAGGCCCCGGGCGCCCCCACGGGGGCGCTCGGCGCCGCTGTCCCCCCCGAGGCGGAGCGGAGGTTCCGCGGGGGGGGCCGGGCGGGGTCGCGCCGGAGAGCGCCGAGGAGCGGTGCCCCCAGCCGGCTCCTGGGACCGCCGCGGGCGGCATCGGGCTTCTGCCGCCCCTCCTCCCCTCTCCTCGCCCTCTCCTCGCCCTGCCTCCCCCTGCCTCCCCCTGCCTCCCCCTGCCGCCCCTTGCACTCCAAAAGGGCACGTCCGCTGGGAGGCTTGGGGCTCCGATGGCCTGCAGAGAACTCTCGGGCAGGATCCCAGCGCCATGCTTCCGGGTCCCCATGACACCCAAGCTCCCAAACAGGCCTTTTCAGAACGTCCGAAGACCTTCAACAGTCTCCCACTCCTCTGCCCGGCGCTCTGGGTGGGCGGGTCGGGCCGGGCAGGGCCTCCCCTCCCCGTCCTCTTCCCGCCTCTTTCGCACGGGGGACGACGGGTCCCGAGGGAAGCGGGTCCCGGGCCCTTCGGGGCCTTCCTCCCAGGACGGGCTCTTCGTCCTGGGTCGTTTTCTGCTAGTCCCTGGGCCCGCGGAGGGCCCCGAGAGCCCGAATACTAGGAGAAAACTCAGGACCCGTGCCCTTCAGGACCCGTTTCCCCCATGGCGACCCCTCTCCTCCGAATGTGTTTCCCTCTCCCCCATTCTTGTCGCCGAGTCCCGCGCGAGAGCGCGATTTTGGAATAAGCTGTGAGGAACAATCATGCGAGAGCCGTTGTTGTTGTTGTGCATGGGGGGGCAACTGAACCCCCAAGACCTTCTCTGTCAAAAACAAGGTGCGAGCCCAGGGAGGGGCACCTAAATTGCAAGAACACACTGGGAACAGGTGGGGATTTCAATTAGTTTAAAGATGTTCGATCTCATCTGCTCGCCAACACGTATATTCCAACTTCTCGATACCCACCCTCTTCGCCTTCGATCGTGCCCCCCCTTGGGGGTATATCTTCCTTACCTGCCACGTGCAATTTGCCCAGCCCCCAGAACAGGGAAGGAAGGGAAGAGGGACGAGACAAGGGGAAGAGACATGGATGGAGCACGAGAGGGAGTTGTAGGAGAGTGGCCATGAGCAGGAGCGCAAGCGGCAGAACCAGACGGGCGGGCCGGGCGGGCGGGCCCGAACGGGCAGGTCACCAAAATGAATCGCAAGGAAGTGTCGAGCGACAGCGCGATTCCCAAGTACATCGTCATGATATCCAATGCGAGAGCGTGGCTCCTGAGTCTTGGGGGCGGCGTCTGAAAAAATACCAGAGACTACTGCGCGAGAGCGTTATTCCTGCCTAGATTATGACGTGGTCTCGCGCGAGAACGCGATGTTGAAATACATTGTGAGGAAGTATCAGGCGGGAGCCGTTGTTGTTTCAAGTCGGGGGCCAGGGGCGCAATCTGGAGAAGAAGACTTTCAAACAGGGTGCGAGCCCCAGGAGGAGCACTAATTGCAAACACACCAGGTACACCGAGGAGGGTCAACAATGATTCTCCTTGGGACATGAAAGTTCGGCATCAACAACCTCGTCATCATAATCGGCGTCATCATCATCACCATCAAACGTCGTCGTCTTCGTCGTCGTCATCGCAATCACCATCATCACCATCATCATCATCATCATCATCATCATCATCATCATCATCAATTTCATCATCATCATCATCATCATCATCATCATCATCATCATCATCATGCTAATCCTAGTCGTTATCGCCACCGTCGTCGTCATTGGCATCGTCATCGTGATGTCGTAATCGTCCTTATCACCATCATCATAGGCGTCGTCGCCATCGTCGTCAGAATCCCCTTCATCCTCACATTAACATCATCATCAGCATCATCACCACCACCAACATCATCATCAGCATCATCAGCAGCATCATCACTATCATGGTCATCCGAAGCATAATCATCGTCGTCACCACCATCATCAGCAGCATCAGCATCACCTTCACCATCATCATCACCGTCATCACAATCACCATCGTCATCATCACCCGTTATTGCCAGCATTATCATAACAATAAGAATAATCATCATCATCATCATCATCATCATCATCATCATCATCATCATCATAATCAGCATCATCATCAGCATCATCATCATCATCGTCATCATCATCATCATAATCAGCATCATCATAATCATCCTTATCATCGCAATTAATACCATTATCATCATCAGCTGCATCATCATCATCATCACACTCACCATCAGCCTCATCTGCATCATCATCATCATCATCATCATCATCATCACCATCATCACTATCAGCATTGTCATCATCATAGTCCTCGTCGCTGTCGTCGTCGTCGCCAACACCACCACCACCACCATTGTCAGAATCAGCATCAGCATCTTCATCTTCATCTCCTTCGTCATTTTCATCTTCATCATCATCTTCATAATCCTCATCCCTGTCCCCCTCCATATCCTCCTCCTGATCATCCTCCTCCTGTTCTCTCCCTTTCTCGGGAAAGCGGGCGCGGCCAACAAGGGCGATCCTGAAAGCTCTCGCGGTAGCGCACCACGTACGGATGTTGGAGCGCAGCAAGCACTCGGCCCTGGGCGTTTCTGTGATTTCCTCTGCCCCCAACACCTTCGCCTCCCTGTCTGCGTGCCCCTTCCTCCCGTCCTCCCTCCCGGGAAATAGAAATGCTCGATGGTACAATTGAGAAATCCCATGGTTAAAATCCCATTGGCCCTCGAGCACGAGATCTAAATCAGCAACCACTTCTTCTCCTTCGGGGAGGGTGGTCATCCTTTCCCCTCAACATGTCCCCTGAAGTGTGGACGGGAGAGGTCGCGAGCAGCTTAGAGCGTCCAAGATGGCCCCAGAGGACCCAAAGATCATCCAGGAAGCACAAGATGGCCTCGAAGATTATAAAGCCCGATTGCCCAAAGTTGCTGAGGTGTCCTCCCACACATTCTGGAGGCGCAAAGGAGGCCAAAAAACAGTTCCAAGGAGGCACTCCCGACCCTTCCACGAGGCCAAAATTCGCCAACTCCATGAAGGTTCCTCGGCGTAAGTCCATTGGATCCCCAGGGGCTCCACTTTGCAACAGCCAGAAAGGCACTCAGGAAAAAGAGAGGAGCTCGAGCAGAAACGTGGGGACGGGATCCAAAGGAGGGCCGTTGTTACGTGACGCCATGGGTGGCCCGGTGCCCCCCTCCCCAAACCGCTCCGCCAGGAAAACGGTGAGGCTGGTTTGGAGGGGGAGGTGGCAAGTGCGGCAAGATTTATGCCCAGAGGGCTCCACGATGACCCCCACGAGGGCCTGCAGAGACCAACATCATGAAGTCTCCAGCTGCTGCATGATGATACACAGGCTGCTTGCCTGTAAAGCTTCTGCATACAAATGGTCCGAGGAGCGAGTAGGTCGGCGGATGGATCCGGAATCGGTCGGGCGACATATCCTCCCGTGGCCTCCCGTATGGTCGCCCGTATGGTCTGCCGTACGGTCTCTCCTAGGGCCTCACGTGGTCTCACGGAGGAGGAGGAGGAGGAGGAGGAGGAGGAGGAGGAGGAGGAGGAGGAGGAGTGTGGTCTCAGGTGCGGCCTCCCGTGGGTCTCCCTTCTGGTCTCCCGCACGGCCTGCCGCACGGTCTCCGCGCGGTCTCCCGCAGGGCGCTTCGTCTGGTCTCCCGTCTGGTCGCCCACATGGACTCCCGCCTTATTCATTCCAGTCAACACAATCGGGTCGGGCGAAAGGGGGGGGATAGCAAAGGGGGGGGTTGAGAATCAGCTCACGTAGCTGATTTTCCCGGCGCCTCCCGGCGCCGGAGGCGCTATGTATCGAGGAATGGGCCCCTCGGTGAGGCCGAAACCAGCTGCATGCAGCAAATTTCGTAACCCCCCCTTTCCCAATCCCCCCCTTTCGCCCGGCCCGACACAACCGTCACTCGTCCCGTCATTTTGTTTGTTCGTGGTTTTTTTGTTGGTCTGCACTCGTCGAATCGTAAGCGCGCGTGCGAAGGAAAGATAGCATGCACAGTGGAGACTCCTGCATCCATACATGTTCCTGCCGTCTGTGCCTCAGGGCACGTGGCCAGCCAACCTGGGAACGCCACTTGCACCTACCTGCAATAGGCAAGAGCACGCGCTGATCTGTGGCCTGGGGGAGACAAAGAGCAGCACCAGGCCGCCGGCCACGGGATAATCTCACGCAGGAGCGCCCGCGCGACTTCAAGCCGAAGCGTGCGTCAACAAAGCGTGGCTCCTTCTCCTTCCCAGCGGGAAGGGCCCAGGACCAGGTGAGGGAGGAGGAAGAGGAAGAGGGAGGAGGAAGAGGGAGGAGGAAGAGGAAGAGGGAGGAGGAAGAGGAAGAGCGGGACAGGAAGAGCGGGAGGAGGAAGAGGAAGAGGAAGAGAGAGGAGGCGGGTGAGCGGGACAGGAAGAGGGAGGAGGAAGGGGAAGAGGCGAGGGGAGCAGGCGCAGCAGCGGCGGGCGACGGAGGGGGGAGACAGGACGGGAAAGGGGAGAGAAGAGCACGAGCCCAAGGCACGCACCGACGCGTGCGGCTCGGGCAGGACGATCCGCGTCTCGCGCCGAGCAAGGAGCAGGCGTGCAGAAGGGAAGGAGGGGAGAGACGGGACGGACGACCAGCACAACAACGACGAAAAGAGGGGGAGAAGAGGAGGAGGAGGAGGAAAAGGAGGAGGAGGAGGAGGAGGAGGAAAAGGAGGAGGAGAAGGAGGAGGAGGAAGGGGAAGGGAAGAAGAAAAAGGTAAGACTCAGAGAGCCCATCGTGTATCAGAAATCCATACCGCAGGCCCGTGCCCAGCAGCGCCAGTCTGGCAAAAATGTTCCAAACTGTCTTGGGCAGCTGCTTTCTTGGGAGAAGGGCTTCCACGAAAGCTGTTGGACGCTCTGAACGCGGGATAGGTGGCAACCGCCGACAAGATGAGCGCCTCGTCGGCGGCTGCCCCAAGACAATAAAAGCTCTCCAAGCTGACATTCCAGATCCCGAGGAGTCGAACATTCAGTCTAAATAAAAGAAAGAGCGTGATCCACCGCCAGTTTTCTGTGGAAAATTCCCCCCCTCTTCCTCCGAACCCAGGGGTCCACCCCCCTCCGACCGCTCCCACCTGTGGTCGGACGGGTATCCTCACCACCGACGGTGCGTCGTTGGTGAGGATACGCGAAGCGTCAACTGTGTGGCAAGTTTCGTATGGGTACCACTCTCACGCCGAAATCGATCAGTCTGCACTGTTGTGTTTGCACAAGCAAAGTGGCCCTGGATAGCACAGGGTGCCGCAGTGACGATTGCGATGAGTGCTGAACGGGTCATTCACCGCGTCCTCCCCCCTCCTCCTCATCCACCTCCTCCGCCACCACATTCCCCCATGTACCTCGTCCTTCTTCCTCCTACTCCTCCTGATCCCTCTGCTCCTCCGTCTCCATGTTCTGACTCATTTCTCCTCGTCACTTCGTTCGCAGCATCCTCAAACTCCTGGTGATATCATTCCTCGTCCTCATCCCCCTCCTCCTCATCCTCCTCATCATCATCGTCGTCCTCATCATCACGAACCTCATAAACATAATCAACATCATCAGCATAGTCAGCATCATCATTGTCATCACATCATTAGTATCATAGTCATCAGCAGCAGCAGCAGCATCAGCATCATCCTCCTACTCCTCCTCCTCCTCATCATCATCATCAACATCAACATCAACATCAAGATCAGCATCATTATGACCAGCATCATCATCAGTAGCAGCAGCACCAGCATCATCATCATCCTCATCATCATCATCACCACCACCACCACCACCACCACCACCATCATCATCATCATCATCATCATCGTCGTCAGCATCATCATCACCACCAGCAGCATCGCCACTATCATCACTATAATCAAGCTCATTATTATTATTATCATCATTATCAATATCAACATGATCACAATCATCATCATTATCATCATATTGTCATCATCATCAGCATCATCATCAGCATCATCACCATCGTCATCGTCATCGTCATCGTCATCGTCGTCATAATCATCCGCATCGTCATCGTTACCGGTATCGTGAGTTCTGTCATCGTCATCGTCGCCGCCATCCGTCATGATCCCTCACCCCCAACCGTTCTCCTCCTGAACATGCGTAAGCCCCTCCCTGATCGTCCCCGTGCTCTGACACGCCGAAAATCCGACGCCGAGCTCGCAGCAGACGGACACGCTGCTCTAGCCTGGAGGCGGCGGCGGGGTCTGAACTGGACGGGGCCCCAAAACATCGGTCAGGAGGGGGGATGAAGCCAGACCCGCCATCCGGTGTACAGTCGGGGCACTGACCTAAGGAACCTTAAATATAAGGAACGAGGCCCCCGTTTCCCATAAGTTCAACCTCGACTTCCCATGGAAAACCTCAGGAAAACCCGAGGCAGACTGTGAAACATTCAAGGAACACCGAGCCCCTCCCCAACGAAAAGGGTGCCTTCTTCTGATGGGCATGTTTTCCACCACCACCACCATAAGTTAGAGGGGGGGGAGGAGGAGGACGAGGAGGAGGAGGAGGAGGAGGAAGACGAAGAGGAGGAGCAGGAGGAGGAGGAGGACCCCCTCCCCCTCCAACCTATGGTGGTGGTGGTGGAAAACACACCCATCATCTTCCGCGCCCCGACGGCAGTCTGTTCGCGCCAAGAGCCGCTCTGCACGGCCCCGGGGCCCGAGCGCTCGGCTGCCGGAGGCCGAGCAAGGCAAAAAAAACCTCCCCGAGCCCAGAGCCTCGAACCCTCCTCCTCCTCCTCCTCCTCCTCCTCCTCCTCCTCCTCCTCCTCCTCCTCCTCCTCCTCCTCCTCCTCCTCCTCCTCCTCCTCCTCCTCCCCTCCCCCCTCCTTCCTCCTCCTCCTCCTCCTCCTCCTCCTCCTCCTCCTCCTCCTCCTCCTCCTCCTCCTCCTCCTCCTCCTCCTCCTCCTCCTCCTCCTCCTCCTCCTCCTCCTCCTCCTCCTCCTCCTCCTCCTCCTCCTCCTCCTCCCTCTGCTGATGGCCAG